TTGTCACCAAAAGGTGTATTATAAGGGAGGACGTCATTCAAACAAACTTCCACATTCCTCGTATTCATTGTCGATGTTCCCATTACTTTTGTTGCAGTTTCCCTTACGTTTATCTATTAGGGATGCCCCTCTTGCTCCAGTTTTATGTGAGTGCCACTACCAGAATGGTTGGCGGCATCCGGTTTCGGATTTGCCTGTCACTGTGGCCAGCCACATATATATATATATATATATATATATATATATATATATATATATATATATATATATATATATATATATATATATATATATATATATATATACCAGAATACGATACTACTAAATAGCCATGAACAAAGCGACCATCTTCGATTGTGACGCGCACTCTCAACTGTGGCCTCGGTTGGCTTTGCAGTCAGTCTATGCCAATACAATCACTGGGACCGTCATCAAAGTCCAGGGTTTCGTTGTGCCTTCCTCCCACCCCTAATGATCGCTATTTTGACTTTTTTTGCAACAATCCACTTGAACGATTTCTGACTGCCGTCTATTTGGAAGCTTATTGGAATAAAAAACGCGCTGAACCCATGGAAAAGGAATTCCGTTTGGTTGTGTAATTTGAATTTCCCCCCCTATATCTTATGAGCGGAGCAGCTTTGCTGGGCCCTGTCTCGGGTCGCTGAGAATATACCAGTTAATGAAGTTATTCGGTTCTGCTAAATTGTGCACGAACAGTTTGGTAATCGGGATGGTGCGACCGAGTTAGTTTTCTGAACATCTGTGGATGAAAAGAACTGGCCGTAGTTCAGCTCGATGTGTGTAGGCGGTTGCGGCAACGTGGGGTGCCGTTTGGTTGTAAAAAGAAAGAGCGAAGAGCACCAGGTGTTCACAGCCAGCATGAACTTCGGCAATGTATGTCCTCCCTGTGTGAGTGAATTCGATTGACAATCCACGACCACAACAGCATCTAGAAACTGTAGGCGCGAACTGTATTAGGGTACTTGCGTACGACTCAAACGAGACTGGTGCCAATCAGTGCCTCGCATGGGAAACAGACGACTTACAGTGACGACTAGCAGCTCTTCGCACCAGACAATCGAGGTAGCGACGTTCGGTGAGAAAGAATCGCACCGACGATCGCATAGGGTACAATCATACTTGACAAGTCACGCACTGTGAGACGCACCAAGTAGTAATCATACATGTTACTGCAGCCCAACGGCAAGGACAGGGTAATAAGTAGCACGGTACGGACGAATGTGACCTATCAGTGGAAACAGATGGTTCCCTGTTGGCAGTAGAGATTCATTTGGTACCAAACTGAATCATTAAATGAAGACAAGCTGATGAGCCTGCATTAGTTGAGCGTTGCCGACAGACGATCGCGGACACAGTCAACTCCACCGCACGTATGAAAGGCGCTTGGGATCCTTGGTCACAACCATGTCAGGTGCACTCGGTAGATAAGAGAAGCAAGTGTGAGAGAATGACGACATCGCTATTGCCACACACGTATGATAGTGGCAGCGATGGACTAGTTTTACTAACTCAGTAACACCCCGGAGCAAGTACGGTGAAGATGATGAAAGTCGCAGCTGAGGGGATCGATGGTTCGCGTGACCATAATAGACGGAATATCGATAAAGTGACGCCTCGTCAAACAGGAGCACAAAGATCGCGGTCCACGTAACATGCAATACACCGGAACAATTCCGTAGTTTATTCCAGTTAGTAGAGGACAGAATAAGCGTTTTTATTCTCTCTTTCTAATGGGATGGGGGTGCTCACTTACCCAAGGTGGCCGTAAAATCCAAATGGAACTTGGATTCTTCAGCAAACTGGATTGCCTGTATAGGGACATGGTATCCGTATTCCCAAACATTCCCCTTCTTTCCACACAGAAGGCTGCGCGTGTGCTTCGAACATTCGCACTATTAAATATTTAACCGTTTACTCCGCACCACTTGCCTATCATTGACTTCTCGAGGTCAAATATTTTACCTATGACAAGCGGCCGATTATCGAATTGCTACACCGTAACGTTGAAGCACGATGTCGCACGCCTTCCTCTGTCTGTCCTCTCTCATTACGATTGCAAACATATTCGTAATCGTTTTACCGTTTTGGATTTGAACGATAAACTAAGGCAACAGGAATTTGCGTTTTATTTCCTCTGCCTAGACAAAGTTGACAGTTTAGGTTACTAGCCTACAGGTTTCCGATCTCGTCCTGTGCGCTTTACTAAGTTTAGGCTTCGTATCACCGTTACGGTGGTCATGATCATCAAAATGCAAGCAGTTGGTGTAATTACACACCCAGCTGTGATTACTGCAGTTGTTGGGGAGCAAGCGAACCGGTCTACAATCGCAACATTGTTGTGGTAGAACGAGGAGCTACTGAGGAAGTGCAGCACGAAGCAGTGCTGTGCACTACAGTAAATAAACGATGAAGTAAACCGGTGAACGCTCATTTAATGTGGGCATGTACCCAAGTGAGGAACAATCAACTGTCAAAGAAGATGCCCCAGAATGAAAGCGTCCTGGTTGCTTCATTCGGAGTTAACTGAGAAGTCTAGCGCTAGACAGCAAAAGCCCAGTGTGTGTCGAGACCGTATACTGCAAGCAATCACCCAGGAGCGCGACCCTGGAGTACTAGTCCAGGCTGGTCTGGGCTGCCCAGAACACCATCAGAAGGCGTCAAAGACTTGGAACCAACATGTTAGGATGCTGCGGAGGGTATTCGGGCGGATTGATCCCTCTGTCTTTTCGCAGTTAATTAACATCTACCTGCGGACTCATGTGGAATACGCAATCCATGTCTGGCACAAGCAAGATCTTGCAGCGCTCGAGACTCCATAGCCCCGAGCCACGAAGCGGGTCAAAGGGTTGTTCCATCTTCCTTATTAATTTAGACTGAGGACCCTAAAATTATGCAGTGACCGGTATCGGCACCTATGTGGCGACCTTATTATGACCCACCAGGAACCCCAACCACGTCTGCCGCCACCCACTACAACTGAGCCACAACACGAATTTTTGGGGCTACCAGTTCAAGCTGGCTACACAATACAGTCGGCTAGAATGCCGATGGAACTTTTACTCTCTTCGTGTGTGCTATCCATGGAACGCCCTCCCAAAGTTACGTTTGTCTAAAAAACGCACTGACGTTGCCCTAACCCATCTACATTACGAGATATAGCCTGTGTCTCGATAAAGGATATAGTGCGACGAAAGTTCCACAACCAGAATTAACCTACACAACTGAGATTGGCCCTTTCTGCATGCCTCTGTGTTAACATTGTGGTAAGTCCACCAAAACGATTTGCACCTTAGCACTGTTTTCTATCCACTATATAGAAGCAAATGTTGGTAGCTCAGGTTGTTCAGTTGGTTGTCTGATTGTTCGCTGAGCTCGGCAGGTGGACTGCAAACGTTTCGTCACCACTCGAGGTGACATCGTCAGTGAGTGTGAGTGATCGATCTCCTAGCCGCTAGTCTGAGTTTGGATTGTTCGACGAGCACATGACCATAGAAATCGATCTCTGATTCTCACCTCGTAGTGTACGCGCGTGTGACTCTTCGCTTGTCGTCGTTCGATGCAGTAGTCTAGCGCTCTGTTCCGTTAGATTTCTTCTACTAATTCGGGGATCTTTCATCTGTAGTGCTGTATATATAGCATCTATTTCAACGTGTCGGTTTATTGAACTGTCGGTAGAATACCATGCTTCCAAGAATTCTCTAGCTTGCCTCGAATTTCCACGTGCTAGGATCTTAACGTTCTCTAGGTCGAAATGGTGGCCGTCTTGGTCTTCATGCATGGAAACCAATGAATGCGGGTCGTGTCTCCGTATGGCCATTCTGTGTTCATTGATCCGTGTTGATAGTTTCCTTCCAGTTTGCCCGATGTAGTGTTTGTCACACTCTTTGCAGTTAATTTTGTAGATGCAGTTATGTTTCGCATTGCGCTTTTTCCTTCGCTGTTGTTCTGCCGCTTTTGCATCGTTTTTTGTCATGTCGATAGCGTGTGTCACAGCTAAAAATGTACCTGTCATGGGTGCATTCTTGACTTGAACAATGCGGTCACCTTTAAGTAAAGCGCTGTTCAGGTGGTTAACAAAAATAGTCTGTGCATCCTCTGTGTAACATATGGTACAGGAACAACAAGACATGTCTGGAGCACACCCCTACAAAAGGTTCACAGCTGAGGTTGCGGAGTTTTCGACAGTTTTGTGTAAATATCTATTCACTAAAACAACGAAAAATATCTGTAGGTTTTCCAGAGCTTCCAGTTACTCTTCTTGAAACTACGACGTGTCGTTACAGAGTTCGACTGGAGATTTTAAAAAGCTCGACTCCAACAAGTAATGCGCTAGTTCTGTGGTGTATACCAACCACAGGGTGGCTGGCCCGCGGTATCTGATACTGGACATGTGTAGAAAAGTCGAAGGAAGTGAAGTGCACGATTCCGAAGCAGGAGTGGACAGCTGCTGCACACGTACTTCAAGATTAGCAAAGGCATTGGAAAACGAGATTTCGTGAAAACAGGTTCAGGACACAGGAACTGGTGCTGTTGCAGCATATACAGCGTCAGATGAAGACAATTCTCATGAACATCGAAAGCGTCCGGAAGACATGGTTTATCGAAAAGTACGGAGGTGGCATATTGAGTTAAAAATAACCATCTATGGACGAAGACGACAAGGTGTGCTGGTTTTGTCAGGGTGGTAAATGAGGCCAGTTAATTAGAAAAAAAATGGTTTCGCTACTACACAATTGAGGAAATCAATAAGCAAAAGCTAGGCAGGACGCTTGATGGTGCCTTCGCAGTGATGCGAAAATACCCACCCCCCTCCCAATATGGTCGAACAGGCAATGCGACCGAGTAACAATGTGTCATTTTCTACAGTGCTATGCAATGCTACCATTATCAACATTGTACCTAGTACGAAAGTACCCGAATGAGAACCATGCAGCGATGGGCTGTGGCAACAAATATAGGGCCAATCAATAAATTCAAATAAGGAGAAAAATAAGTCTTTAGTATATAAAGGCGCTTACAACAATCGTTTTTGAGATCCAGTGAGCAGAACTGAGCACGCCTTGACAGAAACAACGGGATGATGGTATAGTCGAAAATTAGAAATCGCATTTTTCAGTTAGACGAATTGGCATCAGTTGATGCTCACTGATGATCTGCGTATCTACGTGCATACGGAGATTAAAAATACTATTTTAAGGTAAGCACCAACCACATGTGTGGAACCCTGCGGTAAGTGACCAGTTGGGGGATAAACAATGGAGGAAGTTCCTTGTACCGGTGTTCGATGATGCACCAAAATTAAACGTAAAACGCATGAATCCCGATTGGAGCATATCCATTCATATAAACTTACATCACATGCGGTCGTTGTTGTGCAGTAAGGATCGGTTTGACTCCACATCTTTATGCCAATCTGAGAGGGTGAAGTAGGTGATTGATTCGGTACACGATCATCACAGACGCCAACATCAGATGAGCCAGTAGGCTGGTCAGGAAAAGTGGTAGAGTTCGCTACCCGGCTAGGCACTACAGGTGGTCGGTAAAGTGAATGGCAGGAAGTTACTACGGGGTCTGTTGGATGAAAGGAATTTTGGACGGACACAGGATGGGGACCGAATAGCGACTGAAATGGTTGAGATGGTGCGGAGGATGAGCTTAAATGGACAGAAAACTCAAAGGGGAGGGAAAATGCTTCGCGATTAATAGGGCTTGAAAGGAGGCCGAGAGAGATAGACAGCTCCGGAGAACTAAATATACCCGAGTCATTACGAGCTGAAAGAACTAGAGGTGGTTTGCGTTGGGCTTGGACAGGGGGTAAAGTACAAGAGGCACTGAAGGGACTGCGATGGTGCGGGCTGAGCCACTCTGTGTCCCAACAGTTGTCCTTGATCAGATGGGCCAGTTCGACTATCACCTTGCCTTCTTTGTATCGCTGGCTTGCCTCGAACGCGCGCTCGTACTTCCAACCGAGCATCGTTTGGCAACAAGCACAATACACGTCTGCAACAAAGTGAACTCCAGTGAGGAGCACACGTTGTTTCGCCTCTGAGTACTCAGCATTCACAATCTGCATGCAGGAAAGGTAGAAAGCGAGGGAGACTGTGTAAGCAAGTTGACATGGACGAGTTGCGGGAAAAAAGGTGTGTATCAGATTCAAATAAGCAAGTGGTCTCTAGGTACTGCAAAAACAGAAAGGTTTTTAAAAATCATTGTATTTGCCAAGTTTAGTGTTTCGAAGGAGCTGAGACCGAGTTGGTAAGCAAAAGATGTTCACGGTGCTAGGAAGTAAATAAAACTAAAACCAACGAGAACAAAAGCAACGAAATACATATGGAAATAATTTTGAACTAAAAGACCTACAGTTAAGAGAGAGCTCGGCAAACATGTGATCGTAACGGGTCACATAGAGCTTCCGACATTTCTAAGTCGGATCCGCCTTGTCCACACAGGAATACCGTGTTTGACGACATAAATCAGTTTGTAGGTTAAACGTCTCGTTCCTCTTTTCTATGGAATCATCTATCCACTTGCAGCAGCAAGAGTAATCGAGACAGACCGAAGTGAGTGATCAATGAATATGCAAAGACGGTATACTAACCAAATTAAATGGTGCGATTATGGGCAGAAAACTCGTTAACGGCTGCATCCGGAAGGCACACTACACTGGCGTGCAATTATCGAGCAAGAGTGATCACCTTTCTGGTATAGTATAAGACGGATAGAAGGGAGTCTAGGATCACCCGAGTAAAAGGAGTACACGGATAGAATCAAACCTGCATTAAATAATTTGTTGAAGTTGTATGAACATTTATAGACCTTTATTAAAAGTGAATGATTTTTGTAACTACTTTGCATAATCTGACAACATTTTGCGTCGCTACTACTTCTGAGTTGGAGTCAGACGGTTGCGTGTTCGGGTCACGTCGGTGTCACCAATTGTGGAATGCTACTCACATACTAATCGTAAGTGGCAGGTAAGAGGCGTGCCGAGCACAGAAGTAGGGAGAACAGTTAGAACGTCTGGATCCAACGTGTATTGACAAAAGCTACAAAGGATGGAGGGCAGGTTAAGCAGTATTGCAGTGTGACTAACCAGAGGAGTAAGTGATCGGTACGTGCAAACAGTTAAACAAATGGACGATCGGAAGATATAAACAAGAATAAAATCCAATGTCTCAAAATACTGAATGTATGAACGATTAGTGTTCACTAAAAGAGTCCAGAAAGTCAGTAAGGAAGTATTTCCTTCCCTGGTTAAACAACTATTTGACCGATGGCTGCAGAAAAATGTTATCAGTGGATTTAGAGGCAGTGAGATCTATCCAGTTAATAAAGAAGTCATTCAACACAGAATTGTAACTTCTGTGGATATTGCTTAGACCGTTAGTACAGTCACAGTAGCAGTAGAAGCAGCAGGACAAAGAAATGTAGCTGATAACCCTCAACGCCAAGACCTATTTCGAATAATGTTGGACTACCACCGTTTAAGGATCTACAGCAAGCAATAATAATAACGATTTCAGGGAGGCGTTCGCCATTAACTTGGAAGCCATGTGCAATGCTCAAAAAGGAGTTCAAGCAATGCCTAGAGAAATATTAACAACAGAGAAGGTATCATTCAGGTCACTTAACGAAGAAACGGGAAAAAAACCAATAAAACCAAAAAGCCAAGTCAAAAGAATATCAACTCCATCCTTAGCGTGTCGACAGATAAGGAACGGAGTGGAGAAAGTAAACAAATGAGAAAATATGAATACGCATGCAGTGTCATCATTGGGGACTACGTTTCAGTTAGATAGGAAGGTAAAAAGATTGTGCACAAGTCCTTGGGACTTGTGATTGAAACGCCAGAAGACGGCTTGCACACAGTAAGTTTTGAATAAATCACTGGTTGGACCCCACTAAGTTTTTCGAGAAAAGGACGACATTGATGTCTCAACCGAAAGCATCTTTAGTAAGATGTTACAATCTGCCTGCGAAAACCGTGAACAATATAAATTCGACTACCAATATGCTATCACTGGAATGTTTATGCCACAGACATCATTGACGAAGACCATGTTTTTGCAGTAACACTATTTCCAAAATATATCCTGAAAACACTCTCACCGAGGCTCCTCTACGCTACTCTACGCTATTGCACGCCACTCCACTACGCACTGATGATGTCACCTCGATTGGTGACGAAACGTTTGCAACAAAATCGCCAAGCTCAGCGAACAGTTCAACAGCCATCTGAACAACCTGAGCTACCAGCCTTCAATTCTATAGCCAAACATAAATTTTGTCAATATCATGATTTCGTACAAAACTTGTTAACACCTGCTTTATTGTTTTACTGTAAGATGACGCTATTACTGGTGGAAGGCGATATACCTACTTTGCCCCGGAGTATACCAATTCTCCCCGGCCACTGGGTAAAATAGTTATCCTAAGTGGTAAAATGGGTATAGGGCTTAACACAATATTGTAATGATAAAATTGAACTTATTGACCCGGTCATGGGTGGTTTTAAAATTAATGTAAAAATATTACGCAAAACTTTAACAAAATAGATTAATAGTTCGCTCAGAGCAATTACAAAAGGGCTCATTTATACGCATTTTCATTCCAGGTGACCTTATTGCATGAGCTGATCCGTGCGATACTAATAGATCGTACTGTAACCATTGTAAGAATGATCAGCTGCAAGTGACAGAGGATGATGGAGAGAACAAAAACATGGATAGAAAGTCAAAGGAGAAAGAATACAGAGAAAAAACTATCACTACCTTCACCAAGGCAGGGTGAGGTTGGTCACGAAATCTGGATGTTTGCATTAATTTGGCAACAACCGCTAAATCACTGAAGCTTCAGCGAATTTATCGCTGAAACTTTTCGGTGATATGGAGCTCATTAGTTTTATTTTGGTAGTTGAACGCGTTTTTAGCAATGGAATGTGAAGGACTGCAGAAGAATGCGTTAAATCTGCTTACTGTCCCATTGAGTCGTGATCAACTTGAAACTGTGTCAATGCGGTTCAAATTCTCAGTTCCGCTAAATGCATATGCACGAACAACTGTTCAGTTTAACGCCGATCAAGGAGGACGCAAGCGGCTAGTTTTGAGTCAGAATGGTAGATCCTGCTAACCAATTCTAGGTCAGGGAAACGGGAAAATGCGGAGTGCTAACGAAAACATCTGGAATGCGCAATGCAGCTGTGGTAATACTGAGACCAAAAGCAAAACTAGATCCAGAAAACCTCAACAATTCGTGAAGACTCTAACCGTTCCGTTCGTGATATGGCAGACCACGACAAAAACCGAGTTGATTGGAAAGGTCATAATCGTAAACATTAGCTAAAGCTGAGAAACATATTTTAGCTAAGCGTGCCACAATACAAAAGATAGGTTATATGAAGAGCGAGACACTAAAAAACATGGAATACAAAAACCAAAAAGCAAGTAACATAATGAGAAGTGTAAGTACGTTGTTGGAGAAGGAAGATAAGCAGTGAGGGAAGCGACGAAGAAATTCACAACAGACATGCCACTGAGGTCCGCTCTTCGCCATGTCAAATAGTGTATCTAACCAAATGCGTTCATCGTCCCTTGGACCCCAGTCTGACAATCAGAACACATCCACAGACACGAAGTTCGAAGTTAGGGACTTCATTCCTTGTGACTAAGTCATCCGCTGGCCTCCCTTCGTCATCGTAGATCCACACCACGGGGCGCAGACGATGCACGTCGCACGAGTCAGTGTGCTCGCATGCGCAACACGTGGCCCAGTCATCGGAGCATGGTGCGTGAGATGACGATGCTGTGAACGGTCCGCTCGCTCTTCATGCACCAGATATGCGAGGCCGAACACGCTCATTGCTCACACGGTGTTTCCACCAGACATCAGCAAAACTGGGAAGACATGGATGGTCGAACGCAAGAACCTTCTTTAGGTCTGTCGACCTGAAGGGTCAGGTTTCACAACCGTACAGGAGGGTTGAACGCACGGCTGCGTTATAAATCTTGCCCTTCAGGGCGAGTGATGTTGCTCCGGCGCAGATTGGAAAAAGCGCCTCGAGCTTTGGCTATATGCTCCGTGACCTCGACTTCGATTCCCCAGATACTGATACAACTGGCTAGGTAGTTGAATTTCTGACGACTTCTAGCTGGTTCCCACCAAGAGTCAGAGCTGGAATGGGTCCCTCCAAATCTTGGAGGACATCGCATTTCGAGGGTGAAAAGCATAGTCCGAAATGACTGACAGTCAGTGCTAATCTGTCCAGTGATGCCTAGCACGTTTGAGAGCTGTCACAGATTAAGGCAATGTTGTCGACATACTCCAAGTCAAAAAGTCGCTCGCAGCGGGCAACCTTGTCTCACATCGCTGGAGATATTCAAAGGCGACGACAGTTTGCCATAAGCCATCTCACTGCCCAAACTATGTGTGCATAGCGCTCCGATGTTTTTGCATTTCTAAGGCACACCCTTACTGTGCAGACAGTCCCCAAGGGCATATCAATCCATTGAACCGAAGGCGCCTTTGATGGCAATGAACACGACTACGGTGGGTAATCAATAGATATAGAGTGGTTCCAACAATTGGCTTAAGGTGAAGATGTGGCCAATGAAGTCTCGAGTTCGGCGAAATCCGGCTTGTTGCTAGCGAATCAGACTATCACGAGTGCCAATCAGTGTATGGAGCACGACAGAGGCAGACAAGTTGGAAGCAATTGGGAGCAGACCGATCTCTCAGTGATTGCCGCATTCCGAATGTGAGGCTTAAATGAAAATTGGTGCTAGAATGGAGTGGCTCCAGTTTGTCTCCTGCTCCCACAGCTTCACTAGTAAGTCATCCAAGAGAATTCTTTGCAAACCATCCCCGATCATGATGGCAGGCAAGCTGCTAAGGCGATTACTGACTGTTAGAGAATGGTAAGGAAATTTATCAGGTATTTTGGAGGATTCATCCGTTAAACCAAGCCAGACGTCCACTGAAGAATTGGGAAAGCGACAGACGGCCGTTTAATTCTATCGGGACCCGTCAGTATCGCGCATCAACCAGATGCGAACCCATTGGTTTGCTCTT